CTTGTGCAGGAGGTTGTACAGGAGGAGACTGGGGACAGCTACTTTACTCCAGGAGTAGAGATGACCAGCAGAGAGAGAATGTAGGCTGCTGCTTGGTTGGAGATGTGTCAGGCACCTGAAGTTGTTGCAGGAGGAGAGTAACGCACTGACATTTTCCAGCTTGCAATCAGAAGAGCAACGCTGAAGAAGTCCTTTACCCCAGTACTGGTTGGAAGTGCTTTAAAGAACAAAGGAGTACAGCCACTGCTGGATGCTGTCCTGGAATACCTCCCCAATCCTTCCGAGGTTGAGAACTACGCTATTCTTAACCAGGGGTAAGTCTATTCTTGAGCATACAAAGTGGTCTTGAAATCAGGTTCCAAAGCACTGTAGTATGTAGCAGGAAACATTACTAACAAAATACATAATTTTGCACAAACTTCCAAAACCAAGCAAGCTCATCTCTCATTTGAGGGTTACTGTTTATAGTGATATATTTAACACACATGATATGTTAAATTTGAAAAATTATTGTCTGATGAGATAGTTCTTTAGAAACTAATGGTAACCCTAAAAACCATTCCTACAGTAAAGGAGAGAGCGCATCTGAAATGTTTTATTCTTTGGACGTGCTTGTTGAAGTATATGTGCCTTGACAATCAAGAAACACAAACCCCAACATCAGAACCAGTAAATAGCCTTTAACATTCCAGTCATGTCTTAGGGGTGGCCATCAGGTTTTTTTAATGTATTTGAGTTTTTCAGACAATATAATGATAGCTAAATAGAAATTATGCTAATAAATATAGTTTATGAATTTTTTGCCAAGTGACTACCTGACTCCTGAGTCCTCACTGCTCCTCTGCCTCCAGCATCTGCCTGGTGGGGTAGACTAAAACTTCTCACGTGGCTCAGGAGCATTGTCAGAAGAGTTCCTGCAATATCTCTAAAACTGGACTAGCTCATGACGTGTCTGAGTGTATGATTAATTGCTTTCATGGCAAAATAGTTGGATGATATGAAGGACTAGTGGTATTTATCATAGTTTCAACCTCCTTTTTGGGATCTGCTGCAGTTTCTCTGAGGTATTTTCTGAGCACACGGGAGCATCATGAAGTCTCTGTTACAAACCTGTGAAACTGAAGGCCCTTGGGACTTAGTAAGGTTGGGCTTATGTTTAGAGGAGGCTGCCGTGTTTCATTCATAACATAAACTCCCTCTCCATCTCTGTTTTTAAGGGAGTCTGAAGAAAAATCCAAGTTTCTATTGAACTCTGCTCGAGACAATTCCCAGCCTTTTATAGGCCTTGCGTTTAAACTGGAGGTAAGCTGTTACTCTTTCCCTTTCTAATCCAGCAAAACCAGTAGAGGCACAGGGCATTTCCTGCAAGAGTGGTTGCTGTATGCAAGTCCTTGCCATTGATGTCTGGGAAATGCCTTTCATTTTTGCAGAAAAGTACACATTTAAAACTTTATATTTTCAGTGTATCTGTTCATGCATCTGAAGGCTTTTTTACTCGGTGACTCTGTATCTGGTAAAGCTAAACTGAAAGCTTCTAGAGAAGGGATGCCCAGGACATGACCTAGCTGACTTTATTCAGTTGCAAGTTTCCCATGCTACCAATATCTGACCTTTGCAGAGGGATTGCAAGAGTTGTACTCACATTGTATTATCCCTGAAAGAGAAAGGAAGGTATCCAGATTCATTATTTGTGATTTGAGTACAAAACAGAGCGGGTCCAAACAGGTGGTACTACCAAAACTCACATAGAACAAATTTTAGAATCAGTTTAAGTTCAATTTAAATTTTAACTACTTCTAAAAAAAAAGAAGTGGTTTCAACCATAAAATCCACAAATGTGTAAGAAATCACACAGTTTTAACCAAATTGTTTGCTGCCTAGAGAGTAGCAGTTCAGATTTTCATATGGAAAGTGGCTGTTCAAATTGCCAGTTAACCTCTGCCTCTGTTGGGAAGGTTTAGGACTGGTAAAATTGGAGAAATAAAGAAAATTGCCAGGAGATACCAAGTTCCATTCCAGAGTCAAGTGAAAGCTTAGACTGTTAAAAAATGTCTACTGTTAAAAAAAAATACAGCAGACATTTACATGTCTACTGTATAAATGTTTACTTATACATGTCTATTGTATAAATTCAAAACAGAAACATTTCATCAGTCAGTGCAGATCGTGCTTTGAATAGTAGTGATCTTGACTCCCAGGAGGTTTATATCTGATTTTTAATGATTTTTGATTCCAGGCTGGCCGCTTTGGGCAGTTAACTTATGTTCGAGTTTATCAGGGGATGCTGAAGAAATCTGATTATATCTATAACACCAGGACTGGGAAGAAAGTGCGTGTACAGAGACTTGTCCGTATGCATTCAGACAACATGGAGGTGAGTGTGAGAGGTACAGTCCACATGCATTGCCTTTTGAACCACTTGTACTAAACAAGCTTCTCGCTTTTCAACTCTCTCTGAACGATCTGATACATCAAATTTCTGCTTTTGTTGTTAATTCATACTTGCCTGTAGCACTTAGATCTCTACAAGAAACTGGAATCATCTCTAGTGTATTATTTCCACTGAAGTGGAAGAATCTTTATCCAAGAAGCATTATAAAATGGCTTTTAAGGTGATAGCTAAAGTTAATAATAAGATAATATTAAATAGATAATAATAAATAAGATAATACCAGCTGTTGTATTATCCCCATATTCCATACTTCTGGGAGAGGGGAAATAGGAATGGCAAAACATACAAAAAGGTTTTCTTCTGTGTGATTATTGAATACAATTGTTAAACTAAAAGTTGATTCTGACACTTAAGCAAATCCTATCCTTTCCTGTTGAAGATTCCTGAACTCTACAGCTGGGTCAGGTCTGAAACATAGTATGTTGCTTTCTTCACACCCTAAAATAAGTAAGCATCTAAACTGTGCTGTCCTTTTTCTGCTTTGAATAAAGAGATAAAAGATTTACAGAGCACTTTATCAAAGCTGGAATTTTCAAAGGAACCTAACTTCAAGCTTTTAAACACAGTATTTATATAGCTTCTTAAAACCAGGTGTAATTTGTAATATATCTTACAATGTTACCTAAATAGTAAACTTTTCTTTCTCAAGGATGTAAATGAAGTTTATGCAGGAGACATATGTGCGCTGTTTGGAATTGATTGTGCGAGTGGGGATACGTTCACTGATAAAACCAGTACAGACATTTCCATGGTGAGTATGCCTTTTCCTCTGTATGCCTCGTGCCTGGAATTTACCAGGATTTTCTTGTAAAAGTTCGTAAGCACTTGTTCAGTTTAAATATATTTTGTATATGCAACTGCAAATTTTTTTTGTGTTTATTTGTTATACCTCAAGGAGCCTGACTATATAGAAGTATGTTATGTGCAAGAGAGAGTTAACACCTATTTACTATGCTTGACATCAAATATTACTTCAGTATTAGCAAACTGTTCTGGACTGTTAGAAGCGGATGCTATTACCCAAAATTACTATGTTATGTATTTATATGTGTATTTAAATACATCAGTTTTATTTGTATATATATTTACAAAACCTGATAGGAAGCAGAGTCTTGTAACTAGGGTGAAATCCAGAGATAACTCTCATCTAGAAAACAGGGTTGGAAAAACTGTGGTTGGCAGTAGGTGTGCATTATGTTACAGCCTTGTGGTAATCCCCAGGAGAGTCACCTAATTTCGTTAGGCTATAATATTTGATACAAGCTAGATAAGTAAAACAGTTACCCCTGTTTGTAACACAGAATCCTTGTGACCAAACTTTTCTGGAGAAAATGCATCACCAGGCGTAGTGGAATTCGATTGTATGATCTCTTCCTTTATGGTTGTTGCAGGAATCAATTCACATTCCTGATCCTGTCATTTCAGTAGCCATGAAGCCTTCCAACAAGGTAGGAGCCTATAAATCAACCGCTTTCTGACTGAGTTACCTTTCCTCTGCTGCTTTTGTTATTTTATGTGGGTTAGCAGTTAAATATGGAATCACAGACTAAAATGAAAATGTTTTATCCAAAGTACTTAAGAGCACATCATTCAGATCACTCAGCATGTGCCTGTGTTAGATGGTATCACTTTGCCATAAGGATGCATATCTTTGACCTGCATAAACACAGACTTGAAGTAACTGGAGGGATAAATAAATAGTTATAAATGTATGGGTCTGTTTCACCAAACAACCTCGTGAGTGTAGAAAAGCAGTTGTTAGGAAAATTTGAGGCCTTTTTGTTGTGTGACTTCTGGATGTTGAGTTAATGTCTTCTTGTGTATGTGATTGTTTTTCAGAATGACTTCGATAAATTTTCAAAAGGTCTGAGCCGCTTCACAAGGGAAGATCCTACTTTTAGAACCCATTTTGATGATGAGAGCAAAGAGACCATTGTTTCTGGAATGGGGGAACTGCACTTGGAAATCTATGCCCAGGTAATTTGGAAAGCAGATTCCACTGGTTCTGCTTTTGCCTATTTTCTCACCCAAAAATTCTCCTTCCTTTCCGGCTGAGAACCAAAATTGTCTGCAAATGGGATAACAGATGCCAGCCTTTATGCCCAGTTTTGTAATTGGTTGCCTAAGCACACATCAAGTTTACAAGATATCTGGAGTTGCTCAACTCCACTTGCTTTTGTGTAAATCAGAGTTATCGTGTGACAACAATTTTGAGATCTTCCTACCAGAAAGTGCCATGGCATTAACATGAACAATGCTGGCTGCTTAGGGAAGAGCTTAATTTCTCAGTCAACTCTTGAAGATTGTTTCTCTCCAGTGGTTCTGTTTGGAAGGCTTGTAAGCTATTTAAATGAAACTTCTGCCTGGAATATTTTTACTTTTTGGTTTAAATCCATAAAAAATGTTGTGTTAAGCACTACGCTTTGCTTTAGCAGCCTTTGCTTATAATGAATTTTACTGTTACCCATTTCCTGCAGGAGACAGAAATATTCTGTTTCTGTGTTTTTAAATATATCATTCCATAATAAGAGAGGAAGCAGGAGGGGAATAGTTACTGACAGTGATTTATTTGTTTCTTTAAAGTTGATGCTTACACTTTATTTTAGTCTAAGACAATAGATGTATCTGAAATGTTGACAGAACAAAGAAAATATGGCTTTTGTTTTGGAAAACTTAAGCTTGACTAAAATAATCATTGCTGTTCCCTTCTCCTGTATCTAAAGCTATAGCCCCTAAACAAGGATGACTGCAGAATGACAGTGAATCACTTGTAACATTTAAAAAAACAACAGAAAACCCCTTACCAGGACCCCAAAAAACAATCCAGTCCCAATCCAAGAGTTAACTCTGAGTTTCTCATTTCAAAAAGACCTATAAATAAAATAATTTCCAATGTAGTGTTCCAATGGAAAAACTCTGTATTTCATTCTGGTTTGTTTTTTTTTTTTTTTTCTTTTTTCCTGCAGCGAATGGAAAGAGAATATGGTTGCCCTTGCACCATGGGAAAGCCTAAAGTTGCCTTTAGGGAGAACATCTCCAAACCTGTACCGTAAGTATTTCTTCTGGCAACAGAGGTTTTTAAAAACTTATTTTGATGCAGAATTTGATTATGTAGCAGACGAAGTGCCTTTTGGATTGTCAGATCAAAGCATGATGTACAGGAAGTGTTTAATTGAGGAAGGACTTTTCTTTCTGTACCCTGATTGTGTATCCAACCTCACTAATTTATCTGCCCTGCCTTCAAGTGCTTATTGTAGCATTTGACCTTCCATTGCGGTATCAGGTGGTTCGTTACTCCGATGTGTGTTTTGGCTGACGGCTGTCCTGTGTTACTTGAACACCATGCTGTGGGTGCCAGAGAACTGTCATTTGCCAGGGAATGATCTCCTGTGGGTGGAAAATACAACTGTAGAAAGTGAGAAGGTATTTTCTTTGAATAATACTGAAGAGGAATTGACTGCTGTGTTAACAGCCATAATTGGGGTGATTTTAAGTAGGTAGATGGAGCACCACTAATGGTGCAGGGCAAGCACTGTAACGTGCCGTCCTGCTGAGCTCTCCAAATATCTGAAGTTCTCTTGCAAGCTTTTTTTCAGCCTGTGCTGTGCTCCATGCTGCTGCAAATACGTTTTCCTTTCATCTAGGCAAGTTTTGAGGCTCAAGCATGTCTCTGTTGGGACCTCTCTTACTGTTAGTGCTGTTTATGTTTTGGGACATCTGCCCTTAACCAAACAGCACACGATGAAAAATCTATGCTTTTGTTTTGCAATTAGTTAGCTACTACTTCTCGGGAATTTTTCTTCATAGAAAACTTGGGAACTAAAGCCACTAGAGATGCCCCAACTGAACTGAGAGTGCAGTAGGGTGGGAAGCAGTGGAGTTAGAATTGGGAGCGAGATCTGTGATTGTTACCAGTGGTTGATTTATTACAGGAGGTTGCATAATTGAGAACTTCTTTTTCAAAATTTGTTTTTCTTACGAAAACACTTGCTGAGATCAGCAAAATTAGGATCAAGAACAACATACAATGTAAATACTGTTCTGGGAACCAAAGTTTCTGCTCTTCTGGGAGCTTCTGGGGTAAATGATTCCTCTGTGTACTGGTTCACTCTTGTCCTCTAGCGTAGAGGCACTCTGCAGCTCCAGCTGGAACGCAACTAAGCAGTCCAGGATGCTGGCAGCTGCTTCTTCCTTTTATGCCTGGCCAGTTTGGCAACAGTATCTCCCAAGAGGAGAGAGCTGTGAATGACCAGGATGCTGAACCTCTGCCACTCCCAAGAAGGGCCCAGAAATAGCTGAAAATTACCGTCTGCTGATACAAGGGGGAGACCTGGTATCTCCTGCCTGCACAGGGGCAGAAGCCCAGAACGGTGTGGCAGATAGTCATCGTTGCCCTGACCTCACCCTGTTTGCTTACTGACCTGCAGGCAGCATGTCTGTGACCACCCCACCATCTGCATGTCTTGAGTTGGAGGTTACACAGTTGGCAGTCTTAAAACAAAAAAAGGCTTTTAAGAAATAAGATTTTCACCTGGGACACCATTTCGTGAAGCAGAATCATGTAGTCAAATTCAAGATATTCATCACTTCTTTTCTGGAAAGACAAGATGAAAAGGGCTGAATTTGGGGCTTCCCCCTGCCTTAAAAGTAGTGAATCAGCTCTCTGGCAGCTTGTGCTAACAAATAAAGCAGATGGAGTTTAGTCACTATATACAAAACAAAGAGATACTGGTTTGTATTTCTGTAAACTCCAAAATTGCGTTTGAGAGACTGAATTGCAAAACTTAAAACTGTGGATATATCTCAACTTCAGGAACTCATATGGGAACGGAACACCTGATTCTACAAAGTGTCAATTTAACACAAAAATTGGCAATAGGATAAGACTTGGAACACACTCCAGAAGCCTTACAGTGGGTAACAAGTTATCAGTGATTGGGTGAGCGACAGAATATCCACTGGCTTTTGGAGTGTATTCTTTACCTGTCTATTCTTCGGGGAAAAGAAAAGGAACAAATTACTAGAGAGATGAAAGCTGGTTTAGTTTTATAGTCTCCTGTCTCCCTTATTCTTAAATTCATCTGGTTTGTTAAAGAGAGTTTTAAAATGTTGCTTGTGCAGGGCCCTGCAGCATCTGTGAACTGCTTTCAGATAGCCATCAGAGGGAGCAAAACATTAACAGACTGTGCTTCCAGAGTGAGTTCCTGCCTTTCTTTCATACCCATGGGACTTCATGGGACTTCACTGGCTGTTCTGAGTGGCAAAACACTCATGCTCTGAAAGTCTGTTCTGAAGACTCCTGATAAATGGGGTTTTCTAAATATGACGTCCTGCTGCTTTATCCTAGCTTACATACTAAATTTCCTTCAGTTTGAAATCGACCATCCCTTTAGGAGTTATTCTTAACTCACAGTACATTTTCTCCAAACAGAACAGAGAAGAACTGGGAAAATCTATAGAATTCTATTAATTTGAAAACAAAATGAAAAACTTTGCTCTAATAATAACTCTTCTGAAAGCAAGTTGCTTTATCAGTTAAGCCTGTTCTTGGCAAGAAGTTTGCAAGGCTTGTTGATGGTGGCAGCTCATGACTCAATTAATTTGAATAGCGAGACTTTCCAGTCATTTTTGTTTCTTAGCTTAGGGCAAGATCTGCTCAAGATAAACACATCACCTGTAACCACTCGGAAATAAGTGAAAATAGAAAACATTTCATCCTAAAGTATTCTGTTCCCTTTCCGTCTTGTGATGCATCTTTCTGAATTCAATTTTCTATCATAAACTTAATTGATGCTTTTTCCCTGTCCCCCAGGAAAAAATACTAAAAATCAGTAAAAGTAAATTTGGGATGAACAAAGTAAAAAAGCCAATGAAGAGAGTGGAATTATACCAGTATTTTCTTTCTTGATTAGCATTTTGAGGTGATGGCTGGAGAGTGCGTACTGCAAATACTGCAGTACTGCAGATTGTGTTTCCTTGAATTTGAGGTGCAGCCCATTGCTCTTTGTCCAGGCATGGCTACCGCAGGGATGTCAAGTAGTATTACTGTGACTGATTGCTAGATCATGGTGTAGCTCAAGAGATAAAGGACAGTATTCCAGTGCGTGTTATGCAGATGCAAGAATACTGTCAGCTGGGCTTACACTACAGATGAAAGGCAGGAAAGTAATATAAAACCATAATCAACACGGTGACCTCCAAGTGGAAGAGTCAATTTTCTTAACTAAATAAACGTAGAATACTGCTCTTACCAAGAAGACACAGCTTCTATAAGCAAAATTTATGAAGAGAAGGAGTGATCTAAGTAAACACTCAAACTTGTATGATTTGCTAAAGGAAAGGAGTAGGTGGAATAAAACCCAAACACTCTTTAAAATGAACCAGACCAAGAAAATAGGACACAATTGAGGTTTCTTGCTGAAGAACTTAGTTTCAGCTGTACTCTTGTACGTGCCACAGCTGCTCTTAAACGCTCTTTTTCTTGCAGGGCATTGATGGTAACTTACCACTTGCTTCACATGTTTAATTTGGGCAAGATGGAACTTAGTGTTTTCGGTTGAGTTCTGCCATATCACGTAGCCAGAGGCGGCCCACGCTAGCCGGCGGATGGGCTCCAGTTCTGGGGGCACGTTGCCGTGGCTGTCTGGCAAACAAAAGGAATAACAGATATGAAACAAGAATCATGGAGTTGCAGCCATTAACAGAACCTCATCACCTAATAGTAGGGTTTGGTGCTAAATGCCACTCGCTAACGTTCCTTGCTGTGTCACAGACCTTCCGTATAATCTTGGAGTAGCAGCTCTATCACCACTGTGTCTGTTTTCATCCCACTTCTTTCTCTTATATATATTCTATGAGGTCTTCAAGGCAGGGCAGACCCTCGTACTACAGTTGGGGTGTCTGATGGACACAAACAGTGAGCAGGACGCTGCTGAAGGGAGAGGTGACAGTAGCAGGAAGTTTTCAAGAACAGTCACATGCAAATCACTTACAGGTTCTGGATTTCAGAAATGAGGAATAAATAGAGTAGTGTTGCAATTGATTCAACTACCTTGAATAAGAGAAAGTGAAGCAGCGTGTGTTCAAAACAGGGCTAGTAGCCTCATCCCCTTGGCCCTGGCTTGTTTGGAAGGGGATCCCATACAGGTTGTGGATCACCACCAGTTGAACTCAGGTTTGCTTCTGGCCAGGGAGGACATTGTCTCAAAAACTTCCTTCTCACCCAGACCCCTTCTTTGTACCTGGTATGTTTTCTGCCACGAGCTCTTTTTCCAGGCTCCTGATTCGATTGTAGAATACGTTATCTGCTTCATCTGTGTTCTTAAGTTCTCCTTCAAGTGTGAACTGCACATCTGGAGCAATGCTTTTGTTGCCCAGATGATAAAGAACCTCAGCAGTGCAGTTAACAGTACTGTCCTGTTACAGAGTTAATTATGTGCATTAATATTTGCTTGATTACATGTATAATATTGGTAATTTGCACTTCTAAAATGTATTTTTTTTTCATTATGTAGTTGTCATTTTCTCTGAGTCTGGCCCATAGAGATTTGTGATATTTTTTTTTTTTTTTAAGCCAAGGTTAAATTTGTGACTCTACCATAAGGGCAGTTTTCTCTCTGCAGTGATAGAAAGAGCAACGTTGGTGGTGCAGAAAGTTACTTGTGCTATTCAGTTTGAATAATGGGTTCAAATAATTTCAATTTGAAGTTGAATGACACTGAAATGTCCTTGTTGTCCCCCAAGCATTTTCTTGTGTGATAGGGGTAGGTACCAGATGTTCAGGGCTTTTATGCTGTAGAAAATGGGGGTTCCTTTTTTTGGTAAAGATAAGCCTCTTATTGAATAATGGGTTCAAATAATTTCAATTTGAAGTTGAATGACACTGAAATGTCCTTGTTGTCCCCCAAGCATTTTCTTGTGTGATAGGGGTAGGTACCAGATGTTCAGGGCTTTTATGCTGTAGAAAATGGGGGTTCCTTTTTTTGGTAAAGATAAGCCTCTTAGTTTGATTGTTTTAACCTGATTTGCAGTATAGAAAAACCTGAAACGTGGTACCAAGTATTATTAACTGTTGTGCCCACTGCCCTCAGGTAGGATCAGCAGCATAAAGCGATGGCCTTTTATTACGTCAGTAGTGCCAACTTCTGCCCGCAGAATGTATTAATTAAAGAAATCTGAACTCACTTTGTCCAGGACATCTTCTAACACCAGTTCCAGATAGTACTTATGCCCAACATCATCAATGTCCTAAAGAAGGAAAACATTAAGAACATTTATTTTGTAAAATAATGAATTATTTTGCATTGTGGAAAATATGTGAGTTTGTGAAGAACGCTGCAGCACTGCCCTTCTCTGCAGAGCCGGGATATTCTTTTATTTCTTCCTCCTGTGTTAAGATCACTCATTTATTATGCACCTGGTGCGGCATTTGATTAGTACCTCTTCGTCCATTTCTGGTCTTGTATACCACCTAATTGCTGTATTTGGGCTCCCTGTATGATTCTGTCCAGTAATTGGCTGCTTGGTTAAATACTTAGGTAAGAGTCTTAATTGGGTTCCTTGTATTAAGTCCATTTTGCACTTCATTATGAATTGTATTATGTTGTTATTTTTTTTTTATATCTACAATAATGACGTAAGCAAGCAGGCTAGTCTTGCCATGACCCCTGTTGTAGGAGGTTTACCAGCAAATCCAGAGCAAGACCAGCAAATCCAGAGCAATATATATATATATATTTTTTTTTTATATCTACAGTAATGACATAAGCAAGCAGGCTAGTCTTGCCATGACCCCTGTTGTAGGAGGTTTAACAGCAAATCCAGAGCAGGACAGGTAGTCACGAGAAGAGCATCCTCCTCTGGAGGGAAGGGATGCCATCCAGAGGGACTGGGACAGGCTTGAGAGATGGGCCCGTGTGAACCTCATGAAGTTCAACGATGCCAAGTGGAAGGTCCTGCATATGGGTCGAGGCAATCCCAAGCAAAAATCCAGGCTGGGCTGAGAATGGGTTGAGAGGAGCCTGAGGAGAATGAACCTCATGAAGTTCAACACAGCCAAGTGCCAGGTCCTGCACATGGGTCGAGGCCATCCCAAGCACAAATCCAGGCTGGGCCGAGACTGGATTGAGAGCAGCCTGAGGAGAATGACCTGGGGGTGTTGGTTGATGAGAAGCTCAACGTGAGCCAGCAATGTGACCTCACAGCCCAGAAAGCCAACTGCATCCTGGGCTGCATCCCCAGCAGCGTGGCCAGCAGGGTGAGGGAGGGGATTCTGCCCCTCTGCTCAGCTCTGGTGAGACCCCCTTGCAGTGCTGTGTCCAGCTCTGGGGTCCCCAATGTAAGAAGGACACGGACCTGTTGGAGTAGGTCTAGAGGAGGAGCATGAAGATGATCAGAGGGCTGGAGCCACCTCTGCTGTGAGGCCAGGCTGAGAGAGTTGGGCTTGTTCAGCCTGGAGAAGAGAAGGCTCCGGGGAGACCTTAGAGCCCCTTCCAGTCCCTAAAGGGGCTACAGGAGAGATGGGGAAGGACTCTTGATCAGGGAGTGGAGAAATAGGATGAGAGGGAAGGGTTTTAAACTGAAAGAGGGGAGATTGAGATTAGACATCAGGAAGAAATTCCTGACTGGGAGGGTGGTGAGTCACTGGCCCAGGTTGCCCAGAGAAGCTGTGGCTGCCCCATCCCTGGAGGGGTTCAAGGCCAGGCTGGATGGGGCTTGGAGCAACCTGGTCTGGTGGGAGGTGTCCCTGCCCAGGGCAGGGGGGTGCGACTGGATGGTCTTTAAGGTCCCTTCCAACCCAAACGGTTCTGTGATTCTATGAATTCTTGCCAGTTTCTCCCTCCAAGCAGACAAGCTCGCCGTTGGGCGGGCAGATACCCAGACACCAGCCCTGGTCGCCCCCCTTCCCCCTCCCTCCCTCACCTTCCTGCCGGCCTGGCGGAGGCTCCGCAGCACCAGCCCGCGCCCGGGACTACCCCGCCGGTAGCAGAGGTAGCCGGTGGCCAGCGTTGCCGCCCGGCTGGCGAGGCTGTGGCTGGGCTGCAGCTCCATGGCGGCGGGACACGCTTCCTCTTCCCCCAGGAAGCGGCCTGGGCGGAGCCGAGCGGGGCCGGAGCCGCCTCCTTCCCTCTTGTCCCCGGCGGGACGGGCCGTGACTCACCGCCGAGGAGCCGTGTGTCACCGCCCCTTAGAGCACGGCCACCCCAGCTTTAAGGTCCCTTCCAACCCAAACGGTTCTGTGATTCTATGAATTCCTGCCAGATGTTTCGGAGAAACCTCAGATCCCACCAGTTTCACTTAAGAAGTATTTAACAATTCGTATTCACGATTTCCCCCCCCGATTATCCCCTTGTTCAGCGTCTGCACCGAACATCAAAGTGCTCTGTAGGTGGAAACTGTGGGTATGTGTGGAAACAACAACAATAAACTCTGCTATGCAGTCAACAAGAAGCAGAAGCCTGAAGGTAAGCAGGCTTTATTAGCCTTGCTCACCACACGCAGAAGTAGCTTGGTTTTGTGGTTGTTTTTTCAGAGATTTAACTCATCACGATCTCTCAGCATTGCACTTGCAAGATGAAGAACCATGGTGCTCCCTCTTTGGGCATTATGTATCCTCAGCTGCTTTTTCTGCCACTGTCATGGCATTTACCCATTTTGGGTACACGTAACCAAACAGAACAAAGCAAAACGCGGAATGTGAACTTTTTCCTTAGGAAACTGCGGTTAGAGCATGGTTCATGTAATAACATGGTATTCTTGGGGGGGATTTGTTTGTTCTTAGATTTGAATTTACTCACAAGAAGCAGACGGGTGGAGCAGGCCAGTACGGCAAAGTTATAGGCGTTCTTGAGCCCCTGGATCCAGAGGACTTCACAAAGTTAGAATTTGAAGACAGAACCATTGGCACAAATATTCCAAAACAATTCATTCCCGCTGTTGAAAAGGTACTAAGTGTTTTGTGTGTGCATATGATACAAAACATACCGATTCTTGTTGTTTTTCTGCTCTACCGTCCACTCTTGCTGTGGCTGTCTTGCCCCAGGCAAGGAGGCTTACACGTACATCAGTGGAAGCCATCAAATTTGTTTGGCTTTGCTTAATACCTTACATTCCGAGGTTTCCACTTAATTTGCAAACTGCTCTTTGTTTTCTTTGGCGGTGTGTGCTTGCTCTATTTCCATAGCAGTGCAGCAGTCTAAAAAATAGGCTTTCCTCTACTTTTTTTTTTTTTTTTTCCTACAGTCAAACAAGCCTGCATATGATACAAAACATACCGATTCTTGTTGTTTTTCTGCTCTACCGTCCACTCTTGCTGTGGCTGTCTTGCCCCAGGCAAGGAGGCTTACACGTACATCAGTGGAAGCCATCAAATTTGTTTGGCTTTGCTTAATACCTTACATTCCGAGGTTTCCACTTAATTTGCAAACTGCTGTTTGTTTTCTTTGGCGGTGTGTGCTTGCTCTATTTCCATAGCAGTGCAGCAGTCTAAAAAATAGGCTTTCCTCTCCTTTTTTTTTTTTTTTTTTTTCCTACAGTCAAACAAGCCTTCTCCTGTTGAATCTGCTTTTTAATGGCCCTCTTCTGCTTTTGATTGTGGCCACGTGATTCTCATCTCTAACCCCAAAATATGAAACATTTTTGCGACTTCTCTGAGGCCAGTTATGGAGGAAATTGTAATTAAGCTGGATTTCCTGCATGAATTGCCAGATATTCTCTCTTTTTCATCTCTTCTGTGGGCTTCCTCTGTGTCTGTCTCTCTGTAACTGTGTAATTTATCACATACTACTTTAAGTAGTACCTAGCGTAATTGTTGTATTCCTATAATACTGGATCAACCTAAAATAATTCCTTCATTATTCCATGAAGCAACACTTAAAAAGATTTTTGCCAAATCCTGGAGAGAGTCCTATAATACTGGATCAACCTAAAATAATTTCTTCATTATTCCATGGTGCAACACTTAAAAAGATTTTTTGCCAAATCTTGGAGAGAACATGCATTCTTAAAACAATCTTGCTCTTTAGCCCAAGTGGTTAGAGTAATTCTTTCCACAGGGAGCATTCGTTCAGTTTTTGGTCATACAGTCCCTTTACAAAGCAACATCCTGAGTACATCTCTTTTTCTTGTCCTTTGCTTGTTACATGATTTCTGTTTTTAAAAAATACCAGTATCAAACTGAGGTGCCAAAGAATGATAGTACAAAATTTTCAAACTCTTGAGAATGAAAAGTTTTGCCCACTGTTATTTTCTTCCAGCATCTTATCAAGCAAGAAGGTCCATTGGGTAGATACGGCATCGCTGGTTTTTTGTAGTTGTTGTTTTGTCTTTTAAGGTTCATGTCTTTTATATGCTGTTGTTAATGAAGCTCTTTTTTAAGCTTCATTTTGGTCTACAAACTGCTAACTTTGAGATGTTATTTGACAGGGGTTCCGAGACGCGTGTGAGAAAGGTCCAGTGTCAGGGCACAGGATATCTGGAGTCCGGTTCGTCCTAGACGATGGTGCCCATCACATGGTGGACTCGAATGAAATCTCTTTCATCAGAGCAGGGGAAGGAGCCCTGAAGCAAGGTATTAAGCTAGCTGTTAGAACGTGTAATCCTCCTGGCTTCTTTACTGTTGGAGCTAAATTTAACTCTGTTCTATGGGTTTGTTGCATCCATATATATATATTTAAAGATTGGCTGGTTGCGTAGAGAAGAATATATGCAAGAGTTTGTAGAAATTTTGAGGGAGGCACAATAATCCCTTTAGTGGTATGAAAGAAATGCTCTTTTCTAGAATAAAGAAACACCAACAGCTTCATCCTTACATGAGTATGAAGAACATTTTATCAAACTGCTTCATGGTTTTATGGTCTTAGGAATAAAAGGCAGAGGAGCTGGAATTCCACACAGCCAATTATTGTTTTCCCCCACTGATGTCAGAAACACTTGGCATTAATCTTTAAATACTTCCTTGCTATGCATAGGGGTGTCTTGAACTATACCAGGTTGGTTCTTTGACGTTTCATTATTTAACTAAGGTTTTTTTCTCCAGCTATGGAGAACGCCACTGTGCGTATACTGGAACCCATTATGGCGGTGGAGGTGATGGCACCCACTGAATTCCAAGGAGCAGTGATAGCGGGAATAAATCGCCGTCACGGAGTGATCACAGGACAAGATGGCACAGAGGGTTACTTCACTCTCTATGCAGAGGTTTGTGGTGTTCACTGCTTCCTGACCTTTTCTCCTCCTGCCTTGCCTTTTGACTCCATTGCTGTTTTACTTATTGATGAATACGTGTAAACCTGTAGCCAGGTTTTTCAGCGGATAAACACAACGTTAGTTTTTCAGTGCATAAGCATAACACTAATTTTCAGTATCAATGAATGTATTATAAATCTCTCTTGCTCCAGAGAAACTGACTTGTTAGCCTAAAATCACACAGTGGCAGAAAAAGGAACAAAACTCGGGTTTCTTGAGTCGGGCTGGTGGTGCTGCCTCAGAGGGAAAGAAACCTGTGTGGCAATACAGGTGTACAGAGTGCAGGGGGAAGACCTTTTTGTCAGCTGTCTTCCTTCAGCTGTCACCTGCATTAATTGTAATGATTGCAGATAAATGCCAATGACTTGTCTTCAATGTCCATTCTTTTATGTCACCTCTGAAAACGTATTTGTTCTCATGTCAGGTGATATAGAAGTGTACATCTAATGGTGGTGGTGTAGGGTCAATTGTCTCAGCAAAGCCTTAGCTAATGCACACTGCGTCACGTCTGCTTCATGAATTGTGTCTAGAGCTGCAGTCTTGAGATACCTCAAACATTGCCATCTCTTGCCTGGTGACACCTGAATTTGGGATACTCTGGTATCTGCTGCATTCACTCTGAGATTTGGGGGATTTTCTGCCGAAAACACGTTGTGAATATAAATTAGTTGAAATAAGAGGTGCTTCACAAAAATAGGTAATTAGATCAGTACTATTTACAAAGAGCACCAGATTTCGATGACTCTTCATATCATAATTGAAATTAATTGGACAATAACCCAAAGTTGATGGAAAAATACCTTTTCACAAGAATATTTTGCTTGGATTTTAGGTGCCACTGAATGATATGTTTGGATACGCCACTGAGCTGAGGTCTTGCACAGAGGTGAGTACTCTTGGAACTTTTTGCTAGAATGTGTTTATTTCTGTAAATGATGTGAATTTGCATCATCATATACATAGTATATACAGCAGTAAAAGTGACAAAAGTCAAAACAAATGCAGAATAGGAAAATAACCATAGAGCTTTTACTGTTACTTCAACTGCTTTTTAATTAACATAGCATTGGTAGTTGTGTCATTTCTGGCCAGAAAATTCTTTCATACTTTGAGGAAAAGATTCAAGTTTGCAAGTAATACAAAGTGATTGTTATCAGTAAAGGTATTAAATTCACAGGCTGGAAAAGTTGAGGCATTAAGTTGCAAATGTCTGCAAGTATAAGAGATTTTTGAGCACAGCAGTGGTCACGTTATTAAGATGTCCTTTTTAATGATACTAAGATGCTCAATGCATTTGAATCGGGGGAGTTTGTGTGTTATTTCACAGATTATTAGGTCATGGCCTACTGTTAAATCACTTTATATGTTTAGCATCCTCACTTTCACTATTATTCTTCCAAATTTACAGGGAAAAGGTGAATACACAATGGAATACTGTAAATATCAACCATGTTCGCCCAGCACTCAAGAAGAAATTATTAACAAATACCTTGAAGCAACAGGACGACTTCCTGCAAAAAAGGGCAAAGCCAAGAGCTGACTTTTTTTCCTCTTGACTACATTGAACGGTTTTTCACAACCTTCTCTAAAAGCTGGGTTGCCCAAGCGATGGGAGCAATCAAGGCTGGCTGGATAAGCACAGGCTGCAGTGGGACTTGGGCTTGTAATTTCATCATAATATCCTTTGTGGTATTCTTGGAAGCCACCAGGAGATTACAACGGAATTGTTCACATGTCAATGCTGCTCGTTTGCAAAATATATAAATGTTAAAACACTGATGATAATTTGTCTTGAAATTTGTCTTAATCCATTTGTATTAAAATAATTTTATTTTTTTTTACTTGATACATCATTATTTTGTAATTGGGCTAGTTGCTGTTTCTCTGGTTTTGAATTTTTAAAAATGTTAAGGATTTTAGTTGAGGAGACTCAACTAAACTGACTGTGAACTGCTGGGCAGGCACAGGGGGTGAATGGTCACCCAGTGCTGAGTGGTTTTCACATACCTGCTCCAAGCACAGATTCTTTAGCTCCTGCACTTGGAGCACGTGGTCCAGAGGAGGAATGTCAGCTTTCCCTCCTCATCCTTCAGGAACAGCCCGAGGAGCCTCCAAACTCCTAATGAACTGGGTGAAGTCATCTGTCACTGCCACCTGCTTGTCACCACATCTGTTTGAAAAGAGTGGATAATAGTATATGTAGAAGTTAACTCTTTCCAAAACTATGAACAATGTGGATTTAGTTTATGTACTTGCTTTCTTGGCTCTGTTAAAAAATCAAAAAAAAAGATTCTTTTTCCCAGAATCTTGCAGTTAGGATCGTGCTCAGCTTGGGAATCGGTGGAGTAGATCCGGATCACTCATAGAGGAGAGGTAAAACAAGGGTGTTACAATTATGTGAGAGAGAGAGAGAGAGAAGATATTATCATCAATATCTTTTCTTAATTGCTACCAGAAGATCTACACTGAATTTTCTTGGCGTGCTCTCTCTTCCTGACCTACTCAGCTTTAACAGCATTTTTGCAGGCTTCCAGTAAACAGAGAATGAAGTTCCAGTTCAAAACCAGCGACATTCCTGGCACAGGGCTGCGGTTGATTTTTACCAGATGCCAACAAAACTGCAGTGGCCGGGCTGCTTCTCCTCGGCCCTCACAGAAAGACAGTGAAAATTATTTTAACCTTGAAAAAAGTAGAGTGTCAGAGATTTGCCAGGGACATGTAAATGCTAACTAAACACCGGCAGAATGCGGTGTATGAGTTTGATGTTGCTCTGGGCCAAACCCTTCTCGATTCCCTTATGTTCAGAGCTTCACTTTTGTGAAAATACCCACCTGGAACTCATTTCTGTCGGTCCTCACGTCCAGTTTCTCACAGCCCTGCAGGTTCTGTGACGTTTGGAGATTTTTCTTAAGCAAATATAGCATATTTCCCAAAATTCAAAGATGTCTTACAAAAGCAGTAGGAACGCAAGAAATAAATGGGGTGGTTGTTATTTGAAATAAGTGGGGCGGTTACTGTTTTATTTGTATTTTGTGTTATAAATATAAGCTTTTATATTATGCTTATTGGAGGCCAGCCACCATGTGGATTCCTGGCCAGTGGGTTCTGCTGGATGCGGGCTGGTTCTCCACAAACCTAAGGCAGCTGATGGGAGCATGGGCTCCAGCAGCTCAGTGCAGGGACAGCCGAGGCACGGCGGGGGCTGCTCAACCTCAGCACCCCCAGGGAGAAGGTCTGCGGGTGGGGGGAAGGTTTAGGGATAGTGGGGGACAGTGGGAGAAGGACAGCAGCACCACCAGGAGCCTAATTCTGGGGCATCCTGCATTTAGTTTCTTTGTGAATGGTCTGAAGTTGTGCAGGGGAGGTTTAGATTAGATAAGATTCTGTGATTTTGAGTGATTCTGTGTTTTTTTTTTCCTTTAATCAGATTTAATGTAGCACTTGTATTATATCTGACTTAGTTGAACTCTTCCCAGCAGCAGAGATGGAAGAGAACTACTCCTTGTCTATACCACCTCCTGCAGATAGGCTCTGCGTGTGCTTTTTTAGCCTGAAGAATTCACTGTGAACCCATCTGAGGCTCGACTTGGATAATGTCTACATTGAGTTAACCAAGAATTTTGCTTGAGTGAAAACTGCACGATTTTAGGTTCCGATCCACTGACTGAAATCTTGGCCCTAAAGAAGCTGGTGGAAATTTTGTCTTTGAATTTCAACAGGTCGGCTACGCGTCCAGAAGTTATTGTGCAGTTTCTGAACTGCTAGAAGTTTGTGTTGCTCATTAGTAGTCAAAGTTACTCTGATTTGGCAAGATGGAAGCATCTCATTCTCTGTTCTGGGTCTGGAGAGCAGTGACAAAAACAAGGTAAGGAAACTAAACTTGTGATTAAGTGCATTGCTAAAGTACAGCCCCAAAGTGCGAAATCTGTGCTATTTTCTTGTTTTAATTCTAAAAAAAAAATAACTTCATCACCAATTTCTTGAAGAAGTCTTGCCATTATAAGTTCTAATTTCATGCTTTTGGTAATGAGAGAGGTTTTACCAGCACAAAAGAAAACACCACAAGTGTATGAAATGCTGCACCACTGAATTTATTGTAATGCCTATTATTTGCTGATATAAAATGCTTCTGTGGGGGGGTTAACAGATCACCCAGCCTGAGTATCCCCCAGTTAAAGCTTCCATGTTAAACACCTCAGTCACTGTTCCCGATTACAGATCAACGATAGCGATCACCCAGCCTGAGTATCCCCCAGTTAAACACCTCAATCACCGTTCCCAATTACGGATCAATGATAGTGCAATATACCACGAGTTTTGAAGAGCACAACCATCCCAGAAGGCAGAGCCTGTCACCCGTTTTCCTGAGGAAGGTGCACTTCCTGATAATGGAGTTGATTTAACCTGCCAGAAATCTTGCTAATGGGGGGAAGGGGAGAGAGTTTGCCACAATCTCAGCAGACAAAGGCAGGACAGTGGGTCTGCTGCAAACCCAAATGGAGAATTGGGTGTAAAGGGAGAAGAAAGTGTTCTTGCAGTAGGACTTTGTTGTATTTAGGATGGATACAAGCCATGGCAGGCATTAGTACAAGAGCTGTTCCTCCACCAAACCCAGATGGACACCCCTCTGCACAGAGCCACCTTGTCTTTGCAGCTCGCTCTGGTTTTGTTCAAGGTCACAGCAAGAACTGCAAATAGACTGAGACAACATCCTCCATTTCCCTTTGGTTCACACTGCCTTGTGGTATTCTAGACTGGCTGGTGACAGATGTGGGGGGGACAACAAAACACATGTTCCTTACATCAATATTTTCTCAGTTGCCTTCACAAATATGGGAGAAGCAACTTATTTTTATGAGATCTCACACTGCAGGGAGCGGCGGTGCGTCGGCGGGACCAGCGCCGGGCAGATGGTGGTTACTGGCCACTGCAGAGCCCTGTGGGGAGACATCTCACTGCCTGCGGTCATCCACAGCCTTGTGAGGGCCAGACACCAGGAGAAGATGGGAAGTTGGGAAGAAGATGGAAGGTCACAGCAGCAGTGTGAAAGAAAACCCAACCTCAACCAGCATAACGGTATTTGTTTTATTGGAGATGTAAGTTGAAAAGCAGCCTTTGTCTATCCCAAAAAATAGAATAAAAAAAACTTAGTAGACAAATATTTCTTACTGACAGATTAATACTTTTCTCAAGATTTGTATCCAAATATATTAACTTTGTTTACAAACTATCTTACTCTAAGTAACAGTAAGTTAATGACAGAAAATCAACTTGTGTATGTTTATCTGTGTAGATATGTAGTAGCAAAGTTTGTAGGTAGAACTGTATAACATGAGACTTACAGTTTAAGAAATCAGAGGAATTAATTTTGGAACAAGACAGACTAGTGAAAGCATTCCAATTCACTGTTTGACTTGTATAGAAAAATTATCATGACTCCAGGTCTATTAACGCAAGGATTTTCTCATTTAATACATATACATAAAGGTCACAATCTCTTTAAAAATTTGCTCCCCTTTCAGGTAAAATCTCAGCAGCTGATCCAGATTCCATTCCAGATCCATCTTTGAGCCCCTGATCGTCTGAAGCACAGAAGTATTTCACTTTCAGAGGGTGACCAGGAAGCCAAGTGAGGCGCATGTGACATGAGATAATTTCCTGGAGAACAGATTTAAAAACACACATCTTTCATGTTCTTTATACTGCTCCTCTGTTGATGAAAAGAGGTATTATACACATATGCTTTCTTACCTGTGTTGGAATTTCATGGAGTAGGACAGTGTAGTCAAACTCAATATAATCATCTTTCCTTATCTGGGCATGTATCAAAAAGAAAAAAAAAAATGATCAAGAACACGAGTTATATTGTTGAAGTTTAGAGTCTGCTCTGGTTTAGTTAACTGTATTTAGGTTGCTTAGGGAGCGAGACGGTTCAGGCTGGAGATGGCTGTGGTCACTGGCTGGAGTGAGGCAGGTTTTGTGTGCAGAGACGGGGAATTAGGAGCACTTCCTGCATAGAAACTTGGAAGGCACAACTGCAGCGTGGCTCTGCAGCCTGACTGTGCTCTGCCATGAAACTAGGCTGACCCAGATGCTAATTAGTTTGAGAATCTTACCTGACTATTAATCTCTTATTCAGAGACATCTCATTCTAAATAAGGAGGGAGTAAAAACCAAATGCAGTCTATGGATTGGAGATGACTGATGGAAATGAAGCTTTGGGAACCCCTAGTAATGTTCCCCAGAATGTGCACATAAGGTACTAGACTGATGCAAGCAAGGAAAACCAAACTTTCTCCAAATGAGTACAATTCTTCCACCAAAACCTGAACAAAAATACTTGTCCAGAGGTGGGGATACTTGTATGGAGAAGCCACCTGGATTTTGGGAGAATCACGCCCATTACAGCGAGCGTGAGCTGGTGATGGTTGTTTTGTTCTCTGACGTGTGATTTCCACCTCACTTACCCACTGTTTCACAGACTTGACTTGTGCCATGAAGTAACTCAAGTTCTCTGTTGACTTTTCCCACATGATGTAACTGCTGCCAGCGACAGCCAAAGCCCACACTGGCTCCAGGGCAGGTTCAATATTGCCATAGCTGTCTGCAAGGGAGAAAGAGTAACACAAAATGACTAATTCTGGCTGTTCAGCAGAAAAATGATAAACCACAGAGTACTGGCATAGCACTGTTCCTGGGAAGCTACTTTCCCTACTGACGTGTCACAGTCTTGAACAGGGAGGAGAGTGATGCTAAACCTGCAGGCACAGTAAAAGCAGCAAAGCCTGACGGACCTGAAATTGCCAAGAGGCACCATTTGCAGTGTCCCCACAAGGAGGTGAGAAACCCAATATCCACAATAATGGAGATCCTTAGCCAGCCAGGAGGAAAAGAGGGAGTGGGACACTCTGTTTCCATTCTGTTAGTCATCCCTTGTGAATTTCCACCCGCAGCTGGGGAATGTGTCTGGGTTAAGGCAGTTGTTATTACTTGAGGACATTTGACTTGAATATAAAACTGCATAGGCTTGTTTTTAAATCCAAGACACCTTCACAACATTGTGTTGACTACTGTTGTCACTAAACACGGCAGGTTTTTTCTGTCCAAGAATTGCTGGCAAACTGGAATTGTTTTGATAGCTCTGTGGTTTTAGGGTGCTACTATAAATATATCTATCTCCTTTTTAAAATCTGTGTACATTTGCTTGTGTTCTTGAAAGGGCCCAGAATCTTTGAGATAAAATGAAATACAATTGATTATTTAGAGGAATATACCTGGAATATTGTTTCCAGTTATTGGTTTGGTTTGGTGCCTTATTTTTTGGTAAAGTCTATTGTCCTCTTCCTCGATTTGCTTCTGGTCTTTGGTATTCATGCACTTGATAGTGACAACAGGCGCAGACTTTGTCTTGGGATACAGCACTGTAGCAAAGCATGTCCCGGAAGTTTCCTGTAAAGGTTAGGATTGAAAACTATAACCTTTAATCAAGATTTTATTTACCAGCAACACATTCTTTAAAAAGCTCTTGGTATCAACGTGTGGATTACATAGATGTCTTTGTGAGATGCTTTGTACGAAACTGTACAGGGGTCATGACGCTCTTTAGATGGATATAAGAGTTTTTCCAGAAAAGTAGATAGGTTAAAACCACAAGGCTAACGTGATTTAACAGAAGTTTTTAATTAAAGTGTACCATCTTAGAACTATGTTTGAAAGTTCTCAAAAAATAACATTAATTGATAACACATAATTTCATTGTATGATACTTCAGCCTTAAAACAAAAATAATCGAATGCTTCATATTAAATTCTGAAAATAACCTGAATTTCATAAAATGCGTGTGTAATGGAAAAAGCAGATGCTTACAGTAACATTGCTAATGACAACTGTCTGACAGAATGAAAGGGGGGAGGGGAGCTATTATTAAGAAGAACACACCACTGTCAACTCTTTATTCTCATTTTGGTGTGCGGACACAGCAGGAGCTACGGTTGGATAATGAGGACCACACTGTCACACTGAGCTTGGGCCATGGCAAAGTTTCACACAGGCCCCTGGTTGCCTGATGTGACTTAAACGAGGCCACCTCTTCAGGCAGCGAGCAACGCAGGTGCCTACAGGTGCCCTGGCCACTGGGTCCCCAGCGCAGGCAGAGGACTCACAAGGTGAGATACTCAGGTGATGCTATGAACAAACCATGCCCCATGCGGGACAGGTAGGTAGAAGCATAAAGGTAAGTCTTCCCATTATGACAAATCCATTTACAAAAGCACTTAAATATACCCTGTTTTGGAGATGTTGAAGTTTGTTTCATGCACACTGTCAGGAGAAACACAAAGGACCATAAACTCACCCCGCTCTGGTAGTCTTTGGTAGTGAATCGCAGGTAATACTTGGGATCGGAGTCTGGGATGTTCTGGAAGAGAGGAGGATTCAGCCATCAGTATAACTGTAGCCTTTCGTACTGTAACTTGAGTGCTGAGGAGGGAAACAAGGGTGCCATGGCTCCCTCACGGCCATGTAGCATCAGGAGGTTGGTCAGATGAGATGCGCTGAGATGACCCTCAACACCACCAATAAATAACCTTTACATTAAGGGTGTTTTAAAGCCCTTCCTCACAGAGATATGCAAGAAGAAAAATGCAGCTTAAAGTCCTTCACAGGAAAGACTGGTACTGAGTAACTTTAAAAATAATAAAATTACAAATCAGCTTCTGAGGGGGTACTTTTTGCACAGGCTGTTGGAGTGCCCTTGAATATATAAATAAATCAAATCTTGCTGACTGGCTCACGGCTGAACAGGCTAATTGCACAGGCTAATTTAATCTCAGGGATGCTAACCTTTCTAGTTTTTTTTCTCTTGTGACTGGAAAGAGACAAATTTTGCCTCGCAGCATGTCAGAGCAAGATTCTGACCTGTCTGTTTTGCCCTGAAAATTCCAGTCAGTAAGTTGCCCAATCAGCTATCTGAGATTCTGCTTGTTAAGAAAAAATAAAAGAATATTCCTTGCTGATGGGCAAGCAGCCAGTAGCACCTCTTAGAGCCATAGAATGGTTTGGGTTGGAAGGGATATTAAAGATCATCGAGTTCCAACCCCCCTGCTATGGGCAGGGACACCTCCCACCAGACCAGGTTGCTCAAAGCCCCATCCAGCCTGGCCTTGAACCCCTCCAATGATGGGGCAGCCACATCTTGCTTCTCTGGGCAAATTATTTTTGGTGTGGGATACCACAGACTGTCCTGGTCCCAAGCATGCTGAAACAGAAACTGGTGTTTAATGTCAGCCATGAAAAATACTAATTACCTTGAAACAAGATCAATGTCTCATTGAACAGTATAAGAGCAGAATCTAATAAGCAGCATTTGCATTATCTGTTCTTTACTTCATTAGTCAGGCTCTTATTTTCCTACTAACTTTTATATTCACTTTTGAAACGTCTATATTTGAGTGGGGAGTCCAACCAACAAGTAGTGTGGAAAATGTTCTATTTATTCAACCAATTGCTCATAAAATAACATTTTGTCTCTTTTAACTGCTAGGTACATTTCCAAGCCTTACTTTTTGTTAAATCGGCCAGCAATAAATGAAATAAGTCTTTTTGTATGATAAATCACAGTATAAAAGACAAGCCGGGTCGCTTCTCTGTCTGAAAGCTTGTTCCTTTTGCCTGTATTACCTGTTTAAGAGGCATTCTCTCTTCTCTTAAACCTTTTCTTGCTTCTTGTTGTTCCTGGTGTAGGATATATTGTTACATGGGGGCATGTGTGAGATATACTTCAAAAGGCAACTTGCATTCTCCAGTAAAATGCATTTTCTAGTATCTTTAAGTCACATTACTGTATTCCAGCAAGTGTACTGATTTTTTAGTCTTACTTGTTTTTAAATACAGTACTTTTCAGATAAACAGGAGGGGAATTGTGGCTGTTTGCACAATTTTGAAGGTTAGAACCCAAAGCAAATGTGCACACTTTATTTATCTAAATTTGGGCACCTTTGTGTTCCCATCATGCTTTCTTCCAGGAATTTGTAGAGATGAAAGAAGGGTCTAATCTCTCACAATCACTGTAGTTAAGTCTACCCAAGAGGTATTATCTATGTTATTTCTGATGTTATTTATTTGATCACGTTTGGGTATTTTTTAAGTACAGTGACCTTGACTTATTTCTTTTCTTGTCATCAGTACCGCTGATGACAGAACCTGAAATAAAGTCAGTTGGACTACAACACTTCTTAAGCCAGAGAAACTGAGCTCTGATTTAATGGATGACAGTGGATGAGTTTTCCTGCTGAACCTTTTCCTCAAAGGGTACAGCAGCCTGACTGCATGCTCCCAGTTACACCACCAGGCTCTTAAAGACTGTAACAGAAGCTCTTTTATAGGTAAGCCAGATCTTTTCCATCCAGCATAACCAGTCATTTAAAATATGTTCAACTTTTCTTCCAGTATTATTTGTAATTGCATTGGTGTTGCCTGTTCTCTCTGCTAAAAAAAAAATAAATCATTTTTATAGCTGTGGTCACTTTGAGAATAGTTTGTAATCAGATTCTGACAAAGTATCTCAGTGGGTTCATTGACTATTGAGCACTAATGAAGAAAACAATAAATTGGGTCTTCTTATGAATTCATCATTCAGCCTCCAGTTCTTCTCAATAGAAGGATATAAACAATGAGTAATGACTTGGTAAATACTCACTTTAAAAAGAATACATAATTCTGTGCTTAAGTGTTTTTTTTGAAGGAGATACTATCTCTTCATTTGCAAGAACTCCACCATAGCAGTACTACATCCCTAGAAAGCGTTCAAGTGGCACTACACAGCTAAAATACACATTTGATACTGGGTACACATACCAGACACCTTCTCTGATCTTCCTAGGGAGAGTGAGAAGATATGTTTGGCACGGAATAATGTTTTTACAAAAGTATTTCTAGTTTCTAAGAAAAACATCACTTTTATTTCCACTGTTATTTTCCACTATCGTCCCAAAATGCATCACTGTCAACCATAACAAGTGTGAGTTAAGTAAGAGCTCAGAAATATTTGACATCGCACAACGATGGCTGGCTTGAAGGCAGCCAAAGATAAAGGCATCCAAAAGAGAAGAAAACAAGTGAGTAATTCATTTTTCTACTGAATATTCGAGTCATGGGATTGTTTTATTTCCGGACTCAAAATTAATACAGCTTTCATGACAGATTTTTAGTATTGCGTAAAGGCCAGAATAGCAATATAAAAGCAGTTCATTCCAGGTCCCAAAGGAGGTGGTTTCACAGTCGGTTTACACAGCTCTAACTCCCCACCAGCACGGAAAGGGGTGATCCCTCTCTCACCCCTTTGCCACAGGTTTCCATCGCTTCACCTCCATGTTTCCCCACCAGCAGTTCTTCTCTGGGACCAGTTTTCAGTCGCTGGATCCAGAGTCGCCTGGAGAAGCTGGCACCGCTGAGAGGTGACAGAGATTTGTCCTTCAGGGGCTTACCTCGAGGGATCCCACCTCACCACCCTGCCACTGTCACCACAAGCCAGCTCAGGTGGCCTGTGGCTTCTGGAGGGGTCAGATCCACAAGCAGCCAGGTGAGCTCTCTGCCCCAGGCAGGAGGGAAAAGCCAGCTGAGGTGGCTATTTTCTCTACCTCTCTGTATCTGGCTTTTCCTAGATAACTTACCTGCCTTTCTGCACCCTAACATGGGATCCTGACTGTTGGAAACAAGTGGAAATATTTTAACTGACTTCTAATATTTGGACCATAGTCCTGATATTACACTGTTTTGTGTCAAGATGAGCTTGTGAAGAGAAATACCCAGCTGTAAAATTGTATTTTGTAGTCCAATTTAAGCAAATGTTGCAGTTCAGCCAAGAGGTTAGCTAATTTTACCTTTACACTTCATCTCCTGGTTCACCTACCTACGGCTCAGACAGCTTGGTGTGGGAGACTGCTATGTCAGTGTTTTGAAAGTTTCTTTCTCGAATTCTAGCATCTTCAGCTGGCACACACTAATGCTTCTCTCCTCAAAAATGTATTTTTGAAGTGCAGCTGTCAGCAATTCCATGAGATGCATGCTGCTGTTTCTTAGACGATACTCACTAAAGTTAAGAAAAAACCCACGTCAATGAGAAGGGACAACAAAAAGCAAACTGCAGCCATTGGCAAGGTAGGAATTATAATATGTTTGGTGCATCACTGCTATTTGTTGCTAGGAGAGAAAAGCACTGAAATTTCATTTTACCTGAACTTGAAAAAATCCTCCCCATCTAACAGAGTTACCATACTGGTGACTATCTCCAGTCCTGTTTCTAATTACCACAGTTTAACTGGCTATTGGGCTAATAATATCAGTTTTAAAATACAATGCTCAATTTAATAATGCTCATTATTAAATTCCATGAGAAAATTATCTTATTTTTACTAGACCCAGTAATATACTAACCAACAGGAAACTAGCCTGCTATAAAAAGAAAAAAATATTTAAAAGAAAAACCAAACAACAAAAACCAAACAAAAAACCCCCAACCTCCAACATTTCTTTCTCTAGAATTCACATAATATACCACATTCCTTCCAGCAAATTCTTTTCATTTTTTTTTTATTTTTACAGTGGAGGACAGGAAAGAAGGAAGTGACCCTGTCTAGTACATTTTTCCTCGTTTTCACAGAGCATGCAAAGAAAAAGGGGAAATAACCTGCAGAAAGGGATTACAGCAAGCTCCTACAGCATCCTACAGCATCAAGGACTTTGAGGAAAGGGATTACAGCAAGCTCCTACAGCATCAAGGACTTTGAGGAAATAAAGCATTTCACTTCTGTACTGAACCAGTGGGGTTTTTTTTCCTATATTAAAAGGCAGGTGCCTGATAGCAGGTGGAAAAAATCCCTTTCACTCCCCACAACCAAAACTACCTTGCAGATACTCTGTTACCCTGGGGTTGGAAAGAGGATGTGCACCAACATTTTACTCCTGATGCATCTCTCTACAAGACCAGTGCTCCCAGAAACCATGCTGTAGTCCTTAAAAGAGGCACAAGCATTTGTATATGTAAATATATACATATTGGTAATACCTAGTAAATACAGAAGGAGCCCTTGTAGGTTTCAAGAAAAGCATCAAATATCATAGTAAATTTCTGACATAGATGTCTGCAGGGATTCCCCAGGAAGAGTGAAATGCCACACCAGCACATCCATCCTCAGCCTGGACTACACTATATGTTTACTGAGGTGTTTGGGAACGATGATGAGACCAGAGAGTTACCTAAATGGTCTCAGATAAATCTGTAGCAGGACATTGTGTTCGCATTCCCAAACAAGGAGCACAACCAACGCTACCTTTCAGCCTCGTCTTACACAAAGTCATAGGCAAATTCCAAGTAGTTATACAGTAATTTGTGTTTGTTGTCAAATTTAATCGGAAATTATTCTGGTCTGTTATATATTATGTGCAACTCAAACAGGCTTCAAGTTGGTTTGGAACCACTGTCAACTGGGATATATGTGGAAGATGGAGGCTCAACTTCAGTGATGCAAGGACTGCAACAGTACATCCTTAGCACTTTAGGCTGGCTTGGAACTTCTTTCTTGGATGAGAAGATTTTACACTACAGACTATTACTGTAAATTTTAAGACTGAGGGCCTGGATTGAACAAGCCATGCAGATGCCAAAGGACAAATGTAAGATCTCCTGTTTTCCTTTTCAGATGCTAGAGCTGCGAAAAGGATCCAGTAGAATCCAGTGCTCCATTTGGCACTTCAGACTGGTAATCCAAAATAACCAGCCCTCGCTTTAGGGCACTGCCCAGCACTAGCCTAGAGAGAAAGACTAGGTTGAGAAGGGCTGGTTTTAAATCCCATCCACTGTGGCAGCTCAGACCTTCCTCAGCTCTGCAGGAAGGCGGTGCTTTCCTTCCAGCAGCTACAGCCTTGAAGAAACATTACTCAGAAGTTTTTGCCTGTTCTTTTACTTTCAGAAACAGAAAAAGCTGTAAAAAAACCCAAACCCACCCTGGCCAAAGAAAGAGAATCCCTTGCCAGGGTACACTGGGCACATTGTTCCTATCTAGGACTCTCATCCCTTTCTGTCACCTCAATTTGACACATTTTTTTGGAAGATACAGGCATGTCTTCTGCTGGCTACTGCATCGTCTTTAGTTGAGCTCCTGGTGTCCAGAAATAGAAAGCCAAAGCCCTTTCCATCCCTATTCACACGAAATAGCTTGTTGCTCCAGCAGTGAGTCTGCTGAACATGTTATCAAACTTATTTCTATTGTATGCCCGCCGAGTGCCTCCCTTTCCTCTTTCCCTCATCTACACTATGGTGCTTTGGATTCCAGGTCGGGGCCACCTCAACCAACATATGGGGCACTGGCCTTGGATTTGTGGGATATTTAAGTCATTAGTAAGCTAACCTTCCAAGGTGGACCTTCACTCCCCACTGAGGGGACCTGGTGCCCTGATACCCCCAAGGGAAAGGGTAATGGGACAGCGGTGCCCTGAGTCCCCTGAGGGAAAGGGTGGCTGAACAGCAGTGGCATGAGGGGACCTGGGTACCCTGAGCCCCCTGAAGGAAGGGGTGGCCGGACAGGAATGCCCTGAGAGGAACCAGTGCACCAAGCCTCCTAAGGGAAGGGGGTGGCCGGAGAGCAGCACCTGGGGGGACCCGGTACCCTAAGTCTCCTGAGGGAAGGGGGTGGCCAGAGAGCAGCGCCATGGGGGGATCCAGTGCTCTGAGTCCCCTGAGGGAAGGGGGTGGCTAGACAGCAGTGCCCTGAGGGAAGGCAGTGGCTGGACAACAGTGCCCTGAGGGGACCCGGTGCCCTGATCCCCTGAGGGAAGGGGGTGGCCGGACAGCAGCGCCCTGAGGGGATCCGATGCCCCGATCCCCTGAGGGAAGGGGGCGGCAGGACCGCAGCGCCCTGAAGGGACGCGGGAAGGTGCCCGATGCGGGGCTCGCGCTACCCTCAGGCGGCTCAGCTCCGCACCACCGCCCTGTTCTTTCATTATAACAATTCTCGTTAATTGTCACTTTAAAGACCGCGTCCCCCCGCCCCCTTCCCGCACCGCGCTCTCCCCTTACCTTCAGCGTGGCCTTGCGGATCTGCCCCAGCTGCTGCAGCGCCCCGGGGGAGCCCGCCTGGAAGTTGAGGTAGTGCAGGGCCACCCGCGCCGCCGCCGTCGCCAGGCGGCTGCTGGGCTCCAGCTCCTGCTCGGCCCCCGCCGGCACCAGCAGCGGGCTGAGGAGGCTGAAGAGGAGGAGGAGGAAGGCGCCGGTCGGCGCGGCGCTGAACCCCTGCATGGTGCTAAGAAGCGGTAAGGGACCGAGACGGCTCCGCACTGAGGGGGGGCTCCCCGGGGTGCGGGTACTAATAGCGATGGGGGGCGCGGCCGCTCCCTCCCTCCGCCCCCTCTCCCCCTGCCCCCGCTCCCGGTGCCGCCCAGCTCCCGAGGAAACGCTCCGCTAAAATTAGCCGTAGGACACCAGCGGAACCGCTCCCCTGCTTAGAAGCGCCTCTTGGCAGTGTAGAAGGCTGCCGTCTTCCGATTTATTGATCTCTAATGACCTGCTCTTAACTACCCGAGCAAAGGGGTCTTGATGGCGTTCGGCCTTGAACCTGTTTTTATCCCCCTGCACGTGTGTGTTGGGGCATCCTAAAAAACAAACAAAAAAATCAAAACAAAGAGCTTAAAGGGAATTAAGGGCTTGTTGATCTGGCTCTCTGTCAGTCGTGCTGGAAAAGCCTGATGCTCGAGGGCTGAGGCTCTGACCCCGTCCATAACTCGGGGCGTTCTTCTGGGATGGGGCGTCAGCAGAGGCAATTTAAGTCTTGGTTAAAGACTCACAACTGCCTCTCATGGAGCATTAAACTGCCTTTATTGCTGTGAGGCTTTTTCATAGAACTTGAAATTCAGTATCTTTTGAGGCTTCCTTAAGGGTAGGAAAGAATTATTACGGAAAAAAAAAAAAAAGGCATGACAACATTCTGTATTAGACAGTTTTATTTAATTTAATTGCCCTGACTTTACTGGTGATTATGATTTTCCTTCCTGAAATACTTTCAATAAATAATAGTTCATATCATCACATTCTCTTGCACGCTGTTTTCTTTCTTTCTGCTGGGGTAGCAAATGCAAATGTAATTCCTCCCTTTTTTCTTACCTTCCCAGAAACCCCTTACTGTTTCTGTGTCGTCCTTTCTGCAGCTTTCTTTATTCCTTTTTGTTGCTTGTTAACAATTTCTGTTACAGATTCTTTGTAACAAAGTCTAAAGTACCTTAAGAGAAACGGGCCACGTTTTGGGTGAAAATGTAAGATGAAGACAGCCCCATGGGGTGCTGCTGAGGCCAAGGGCTCATCTAGTCCAGTGTGCTCTGGCAGCGCCTGTGCTCCTCTCCAAGCCTAATGATTGATGATGGCTCTAGACAGAATGACAAATGTGTTCTTTCTTAAACTCTTTTTTTGCCATTATTTAGCTTCCTGTCTTCATCCCCAGAGAGTCTGTGTAACCTGTGTGGCAGTTTCCTCCAGGACTTGTATTAGGAAAATAAAAGAATTTGTTCTCTGATACCAATCGTATTGGAAGACGGTGAAGTTTTAGTAAATTCAGACAATTTCAGTATCCAAGCATTCAGTATTCAGCATCCAAAAGAAAGTGTGCAGCTATACAGCTCAGGTTTTTGTGCCTTCAGTCTTAATTGACAGTGTCAATAACTTATGCAGCAAATTAAGTTTCTTTTATCTAATTTAGGGGCCAAACTTCTCATCTGCACCTGACTTATATCCCATATAGAAAGGTTAGCTTTAATTTGGCATCTCTCCCAGTTTCACAATGTGCTGCTTTACTTAATGTTGTATCTGGAGTCACACAGCTGCTTATTAGAGGGTAATGGCACTTTTCTAACATTTTGGGGGGGAAGTGTTTATAATACATTGCAGAGGGAGCAGGCTAATTTTTTCCTTATTGAAACACTTGCCATGCTTGTCTCTTCAGCTGGAAGAAACCAAGATCCGGTCTTTTCTCATTTATCCTCCCTGCGATGACAGTGCTGGTGTTACTTTTAAAATGAAACATGAAAGACATGATTCTCCTGAGCTGGTGCTTGGAGTTTCAAGCAGCACCAGGTTCTCCTGCTGCTGCCGTGCTGTGTTTCTCTCAGCAGGGCCCCGGCAGTAGGACGGGAGGCTGAGGACATCATGGGACCAGGGGTGATGCAGGGATGGCTGGTGAGAAAAGCTTCGGTGCTGGGTGGGGAGGGAGGAGGAGGAGGCAAGGACTGCGAGGGGCCAGCTTCTCCCACTCACAGAATTAGTGCACTCATCTGCTGCAGCTGGACCTGGTCAAGGAAAGAAGTTAAAACCACCCTGCACAGAGGTTTTGTGCTTGTGGTTTATGCCTAATAGCGATGGGGGGCGCGGCCGCTCCCTCCCTCCGCCCCCTCTCCCCCTGCCCCCGCTCCCGGTGCCGCCCAGCTCCCGAGGAAACGCTCCGCTAAAATTAGCCGTAGGACACCAGCGGAACCGCTCCCCTGCTTAGAAGCGCCTCTTGGCAGTGTAGAAGGCTGCCGTCTTCCGATTTATTGATCTCTAATGACCTGCTCTTAACTACCCGAGCAAAGGGGTCTTGATGGCGTTCGGCCTTGAACCTGTTTTTATCCCCCTGCACGTGTGTGTTGGGGCATCCTAAAAAACAAACAAAAAAATCAAAACAAAGAGCTTAAAGGGAATTAAGGGCTTGTTGATCTGGCTCTCTGTCAGTCGTGCTGGAAAAGCCTGATGCTCGAGGGCTGAGGCTCTGACCCCGTCCATAACTCGGGGCGTTCTTCTGGGATGGGGCGTCAGCAGAGGCAATTTAAGTCTTGGTTAAAGACTCACAACTGCCTCTCATGGAGCATTAAACTGCCTTTATTGCTGTGAGGCTTTTTCATAGAACTTGAAATTCAGTATCTTTTGAGGCTTCCTTAAGGGTAGGAAAGAATTATTACGGAAAAAAAAAAAAAGGCATGACAACATTCTGTATTAGACAGTTTTATTTAATTTAATTGCCCTGACTTTACTGGTGATTATGATTTTCCTTCCTGAAATACTTTCAATAAATAATAGTTCATATCATCACATTCTCTTGCACGCTGTTTTCTTTCTTTCTGCTGGGGTAGCAAATGCAAATGTAATTCCTCCCTTTTTTCTTACCTTCCCAGAAACCCCTTGCTGTTTCTGTGTCGTCCTTTCTGCAGCTTTCTTTATTCCTTTTTGTTGCTTGTTAACAATTTCTGTTACAGATTCTTTGTAACAAAGTCTAAAGTACCTTAAGAGAAACGGGCCACGTTTTGGGTGAAAATGTAAGATGAAGACAGCCCCATGGGGTGCTGCTGAGGCCAAGGGCTCATCTAGTCCAGTGTGCTCTGGCAGCGCCTGTGCTCCTCTCCAAGCCTAATGATTGATGATGGTTCTAGACAGAATGACAAATGTGTTCTTTCTTAAACTCTTTTTTTGCCATTATTTAGCTTCCTGTCTTCATCCCCAGAGAGTCTGTGTAACCTGTGTGGCAGTTTCCTCCAGGACTTGTATTAGGAAAATAAAAGAATTTGTTCTCTGATACCAATCGTATTGGAAGACGGTGAAGTTTTAGTAAATTCAGACAATTTCAGTATCCAAGCATTCAGTATTCAGCATCCAAAAGAAAGTGTGCAGCTATACAGCTCAGGTTTTTGTGCCTTCAGTCTTAATTGACAGTGTCAATAACTTATGCAGCAAATTAAGTTTCTTTTATCTAATTTAGGGGCCAAACTTCTCATCTGCACCTGAGTTATATCCCATATAGAAAGGTTAGCTTTAATTTGGCATCTCTCCCAGTTTCACAATGTGCTGCTTTACTTAATGTTGTATCTGGAGTCACACAGCTGCTTATTAGAGGGTAATGGCACTTTTCTAACATTTTGGGGGGGAAGTGTTTATAATACATTGCAGAGGGAGCAGGCTAATTTTTTCCTTATTGAAACACTTGCCATGCTTGTCTCTTCAGCTGGAAGAAACCAAGATCCGGTCTTTTCTCATTTATCCTCCCTGCGATGACAGTGCTGGTGTTACTTTTAAAATGAAACATGAAAGACATGATTCTCCTGAGCTGGTGCTTGGAGTTTCAAGCAGCACCAGGTTCTCCTGCTGCTGCCATGCTGTGTTTCTCTCATCAGGGCTCCGGCAGTAGGACGGGAGGCTGAGGACATCATGGGACCAGGGGTGATGCAGGGATGGCTGGTGAGAAAAGCTTCGGTGCTGGGTGGGGAGGGAGGAGGAGGAGGCAAGGACTGCGAGGGGCCAGCTTCTCCCACTCACAGAATTAGTGCACTCATCTGCTGCAGCTGGACCTGGTCAAGGAAAGAAGTTAAAACCACCCTGCACAGAGGTTTTGTGCTTGTGGTTTATGCTGGCTTAGGTTTTGTGGGAGTTCAGAGGTATAAAGAGAGGTAAGAGCTTAAAAAGAGGTAAGAGCCTAAAGAGAAGTATGAGCTTAAAGAGAAGTTAGAGCTTGTAGATCTGGCTCTTTGTCACTTGTGCTGGAAAAGCCTGTAAATGCCTGAGCATTGAGGCTTTGACCCCATCTATAACTTTCTAGGTACATCTTTTCTCCTTTTATGTTGTCCTCCTTTTCCTGCTTCCTCAGCCAGCACCAGTCAGTGATATGGCTGCTTCCTTCCTCCCCAGTGCAACAAAAAGACCGCGAGTAACTGAGACCCGAGGGTCAGTACAGCAAGGACAGAGAACCTGTATCACAAAGCAGGGACAAGAAGGAATTTCCATGGCAATTTCGGGAATGGCTGTAGATATTATGTTGCTATAATTTGCTGTTGATTGAATGTGACTCCATGTTTACGAAGAAACTTTTTGACTTGGGAAAACAAAAGTTGAAATGTTGAACAGGTCCAGGTCAGGGTTGAGAGGATGCTCCTGAATATGTACAAACAAATATACATATTTTAAATCCTGATTTTACGTGTCCCTTAAAAACTGAAAGTACATGTCCTGATGGCCAGGCCTCAAGCCAGGCTCTGCTCATTTGCTTCAGAGTTTGGTGGCAGTAAAAATGAAACTGTACAGCATGTAACATCTGAACACAAGGAACCGCAGTGATCAAACTCAAAGTGACATGTATATTCTTGTTGGCTAGAATGTAGTGTGTGAAGGTTTTATCTTTCTAGAGTATCTTTTTACTTCTCATCCCAGTTAAGTTGGTCCAGATTCGAAAGGGACAGTGGCGGTGTAAGTTACATGTTAAGAAGCCTCTCTCACTCTTCCCTTCCCTGTTCTTCTTTAACAGACTGTACATTAT